GACGAGCACATGGTGCCAGACGGCGTTTGCCAACCCCATCCCTGTAACATTCAGTTTGGCACTGATGACAGGAAAATTCTTCTCTAAGGGTGCCGCATTTCAGGACTAACACCACCGCCACCGTCGTCTTGCTGCTGCCACTCCTGGAAAGGCTCCCCATCCTCACCACCACTTCTGCCAAAAGATTTGGGAACATCTTTTGGGAAGGTCTGGGCAGCATCGCCCCGCTGTGCCAGGAAGGTCCGCGGAGGAGCCGAGACTATCTCCCGGGTCTCCCTGGGAGGAAAACGCAGCCAGGGCAGATGCACCAGGCCAACAGGGTGGGAGGAATTGCTCGTGTGTGTCCCATCAGCAAAGAGGACAGCGGGTGAGTGGCACATGTGGTTGGACTGGGGGGACTGCTAGGAACACCGGCGCTGTTAGCCCCATGCATTCCACATGGGACTTGGCCCAGATTTGGGGAAAGAAGGCAGGTTTCATGAGTTCTGTGGAATCCAGACTCTGAAAGGTCGGAGTCCAGCTGCAAATTCATTTTAATAACCTGAGATGCTGGGAAGCATCCGCCTTGCCTCTTTGTGCCGGCACATCCCAGCTAGGACCAGCCCGTGGCCAAGCCCGACATTTTCCCCGGCTGGGATGGACAGAGCATGGCTGGACCCCGTTATCCCAGGTGGGATAACCAGCTTGGATGCTGCAGCACAGGCCCAGCAAGGGGCTCCCCATCTCCGACTCCCCATCCCGCTGCCGTGGGACTTTGCTCACGGATGGAAACCCTGTGCCAGCTACCACTGGGCTCGGCAACAAAAACAACCACCACCAGCCACGAGGTCCCTCTAAAAGCCAACACTGAACCCCAAACCTCACTCTGGCACCACGGGGCCGGACAAAGCAAAGGCACAAAGCACAAACAGCATCTGCGAGGTTTGGGAGCAGGGATGCGCACAGCATCCCCTGCAGCAGGCGGAGAGGAGCCAAGCCTCCCTTTGCCGGAGGAGGAGGAAGAGGGAACCTTCCTCCCATTTTCCCGGCTCGTGACTCTGCAGCCCATCCACCAAGTAATTTATTCATAGTGCCGTAACCTCAGGGGTCCTGATAAAAGGCTGGAGCTGCCGCATTGTTCCGGATACGCCAGCACAAGCACAAAGGCTCCGGACACCTCCCGGCCACGGATGCCACCATGTCCCCTCCTATACTGGGAGGAGGGGGGGGGGGCCAGCACCCGATTCCTCGCCCTCCCACCCACTGAAAAACCTGAAGCTGCCACGCTAATTGGCACAATTATTTCTGCTCTGGGACGCAGGGCCCCTCTGCAGCGGGCTGCACGCCTGCTATTGCTAATGAGCTTAACTCCTGAGCTGGGTGCAAAGACAGAACCCGGGGGGAGACGTGGGGTGGGGGGGTACATTTATTAGCCTGGCCAAGGCCCTTGAGATAACAAACAAACAAGCAGCCATGGGCTGGGAGCCACTTTTCCCCTTATTTCCATGAATAACAGCAGCCATGGGCGAAAAATCCATCCCTGTGGCGTGGCCAGGCTCCCACAGGGATGGAGGGAGCCGGGTCCCGTCCCACGCAGCCAGCAGGGATAAACGTCCCCTCCTTTGGGGTCACAGCGATGCTGGGGGACAGGGATGCTCAGGGCAGGTGGCATTCACGGAGCCACATCGCCGGCTGGAGCTGGTGGCGAAACATCTCTGGTTATCGATAATGCAGAGCCCAGCCATCGACCGGGCGCTCCGATCCACGCAGAACTAGAGGAGAATGCGAGCACATTTGGATTGCATGGGAATATCGATGTGGGAAACCCTCCCCGCCGAGATCGGTGGGGGCCGTGCCAGCATTTGCCAAGACGGGGGGGGCATCGGCAGGGATCCCCCCGTTGCACGCTCACAGCGATGCCGAAATCGCAGCCTTTGCCGCAGCTCTCACCGCAGCTGCCTTGTTCCCAACCGGAGCAAAGCTCACTCAGAATCGCTGCTACAACTCGGAAATTGCCCCGGACATGGGGGAACTGATTAACCGAATTAACCGATTTCAGGATACAAAATTGTCCAAGCGTATAACCTCACACACACAAAAAAAAGAAACCGGGATGAGGATGTCACAAGCCTCCAGGTAAATGAATACTCTGGAATTCATGAATTACAGCAAACTTTGAGAAATAAAATGTGAGGGAGCAGCAGTGCTCAACACAATTAATTCAGCTTTAAAAAAAAAAAAAAAGCACTAAAAACTCAACCCAACTGACAAAGAGAAAATTAACCCAGAACCAACCCCGAGCCAGCCCAGGCACTACAGAGCAAAGCTCACAGCCAGGCAGTGCAGGCAAACCCCCCCCCACCTCCAGCCCCCCACGGCCGCCCCTCGTACCTGCAAGTACCGGCTGGGTCCTCACCAGCAGCAGCCCCCCCCAAACCTGGGGGGGGCCTTTCCAGCAGGGACCCCTCCTCAGCAGAACCTCAGGACCCACTACCCCCAGCCAGCTCTACCTGGGAGCCTCTGTCCTAACGAGGGGAGGGGGCACACCTGGACCCCCCTAATGAGGGAAGGGGACACACCTGGACCCCCCAACCTCCCTAACGAGGGAAGGGGACCCCCCTGGCCCCCCCCCCATTAACAAGAAGGGGGGAGGGCTGAGGCTCTGCCCTTCCCCTGGCTGTAATACCCCCCCTACAATATCCCCCCCCATGTCCCTTCTGTCCTCTGCAATAT